TTATTTGATTATAATCGAATGATGCATGTTTATTGAGTCAATTGAAGTCTGATCAACTTTTCCTGATTTCTGCTGCAACCTGAGATAGATAGAATCTGATTAGGTTGTTAGAGCCTCATCATTCGGTAGTAGGAGATTGGCTATACGAGAGTTAGCCATTTTAATGCTTTGTACTGGAATCCAATTCCAGTAGTTGAGTTATGTGCTTATTGCTTCAGCTTTCTATCCCGGTGAAGACTAGTCGTATGCCGGATAGTTAGACTGAGAGGGCTTGGTCAGCTTAAGAGATTCCAAGCTACTGTCGGATCTTCCGCAGTTTAATCAACAGTAGAACAACCAAAAGGAATTACAACTTGGACCTAATTGAGCAGCTAGGGGGAATCATACCTAAGTGAGTTCCCAAACTGTAATTAGTAGTTTTACTTAGTTTAGTTAGTAGAGTAGTTTAGTTAATCAATCCTTAATCTAGTTTGCTAGATAATGAACTGAAGCTGAGTAATAGTAACTCTAGAGACCCGTGGATTCGATATTTATTACTTGTGCCACTATACTGCAGTCCCTTTCATTGGTTACACTTGGCCATTGTTAGGTGTTGTGTTTTAGAGCATCAATATGCATTTTAATTTGCTAAAAATATTGCTTTAATAAGTTTGTGACAGCTGATAGTTTTGTTTGTGGTTGGTTTTCTAGAACATTTCAAGGTAATTAAACGAGTACATGAAAGATTGATGGACGTGGATGCTAATGAGTTTCCTCATTATTCCAAAGTTGTATGTGTAAGTGATAATACACTATATTCATGGGATTTAGATCGGTATATTCTCTATTATCATATACCGACATATGAGAAGGGAGAGAAAATGAAAAGCTCTTCACTTAATTTTTTTATTGATTGAAGCATATTTTCTTATTCTAACTTCTTCTTTTGTGGGTGTAAATTTTTTAACTTCTTTATCACAATTGTGTGCTAAAGAATGAATAACTCTTATGTTTATAATCTTAAAGGGCGAGTTCGATAAAAAAATTTCTAAATCAATAAAGAACAATCTACAAAGAGCTCAGTTAATAAAATTAAAATGTCCATAAATAAACAAAAGGTATAAAAGTATGAAACAATACCTGAAATAAGGTAAGTGGGATTTACAATTCCATATATATTACCTTAACAAACATAAATAATAATAATAATTAAAATACTATAACGAATTATAAAATGGCCAAACAAAATACACCGCCCTACGGGCGGGTAAAAAACTAGTATGGTATATTCTTCTTACATGTTTGTGATTTTGTTAGAGCATAAATTGCATGCTTAGAATTTATTTTGTAAGAAACTTCCAACATCGTATTAAATATTTCGTTTAATACACGTATATATTAATTTATTTTTAAAATAATTAATTCTTATATTTTAGAACTATTAAACGTACCATTAGTTTAGAGATGATGTAAAACGCCAGTACGTATTTTATATATAAATTACCCTATCGTATTTTACTAACTATGATATTTATGATTATAAATCAAATTATAAGTTGTACCATAGTAAGATATTTTGTGTTTAAATCGTGATTTAATCGTTCAATCATTTCATACCGATAAATTATATATCTGCTTGGATTTCGATAAACAATATTTTAATTAGACCACCAATATATTATTTTTTAGTAGACACGGGTTCAAATAAGTAAAAAGCTTATAAGGACATTATCATAAAAGTGTTTGTAAAAATTCATTTCCATCTTCTCCGAACACAAAAGCATAAATCAATTCCAAAAGTTTAGGATTTGTACCAAACAGGCTCTAAAGAATTATAAAGGAAATAGTTTATTTATTTCCAACAGTTGTACCCCAAACCTCTCTTCTCCTCCCAATTAGGAATGGCAATGGGTCGGGTTGGGGCGGTTTTTGTCAAACCCAAACCCAAACCCATGGGTTTATCCGCCAAAAAAATTCGGAGTAAAATCCGCTGGGTTTGAAAAACTCAAACCCAACCCGCTGGGTATCCGCGGGTTCATGGGTACCCGTGGGTTTTTGTGGTAAAAAATTTACAATAACAAGTTTCTTTCAAAATAAAAGTTTATCATCAAATTATTCATACAAATTACAAGCAAACCGCAAATGATCAATACAAATTGTTCAAAATTAAAGATAAACATCTATAAACAATAAGATTAATTGAAAGCTTCTTCCTCGTCAACTAAGTTTCTTCACTCTCCACTTCATAATATCAACTTCATTCTAAACAATTAGAAAGAACAAATTATACATGTCTCCACAAACATAAATGTCTCCACAAACATAAAGAATATTAGTTGTTTAATGAAGATATATTATTTAGAATAATAAATATACCGGGAAGGTAATTATATGTGTATGGGCGGGTACCCATGGGGCGGGTTTACCTAAACCCAAACCCAACCCGACTCGATGAATAGTGTAGCGGGTTTCAACCCAAACCCGGCCCAAAACCCGTCAACATGGGTTTTACCCACGTTGACCGGGTTGGGTTGGGTCGGGTGGGTACCCGTGGGTTCGAGTTTTGTTGCCATCCCTACTCCCAATGTCCCAAACTTCTCCCCGTCTCTCTCACTTTATCTCTCCCTGCCGTCGAAATCCAGCTGCGAATAAGTTGTGGACATCCACTGCCATCAAATTAGAAACCTCCGGCCACCACCGTCTCTCACCGCCATTTTTTCTTTAGATGAAAAATACCTCCTGATTCAGATCCCAAACAACTCAAAACCTAAGAATAACGCCTAGTTTATAGTCAGCTCTCCCTCTCCTTTTCTTGTTGACTGCGCCAATAACCAGATCTACACAAAGAGGAAGACGAAGAATATAGGGAAGAGGCATAGCGGGGGCTGGCGATTGGTGGATTGCAATTTCAGGGGAGGCATAGTGGAGGTAGGCGATTGATGGGTGGCAATTGGTGGGTTGAACCCAGAAAAATAAATCTAATTGCCAGAATCGTCGTCGGCATAGTCTTCGAGCTCTTCTCCTTCCCTATAAACCAAAAGCCATCCATGTCTATATTCAGCATTCCCTTCTCCCTGCAGGATTTCGATTCTCCATTTCTATCACTATCTATTGAAGCAGACACATGAGCGACGATGTCCACGATGCTATCCCGCTTTTCACAGACGATTGGTGATGAAAACATCACAATAATTAAAGTCGGCGGCTGTATCGATGGCAAAGGTGGTGCCGCGATTCGAATTTGGTGACGAAGAGTCAAAGACCAAGAAGGGCTGGGATCGACAGAGGCGGCAAGGGCAATTCGAAGGAGGAAGAAGTAGATTTTTGGGTCGGGGAAGGAAGACAATATTTCTTTGGAGACTAGATACTATAACAACACCCTTTGTGTTGTTATTGTAACAAACCACTAGCCTCCAACCAATAGGAATCTAGGATTGTGATGCCTTTTTATTAGATCAGTTGACCTAGTGTAAAATCAAAGCAGGGTTATAATTGTCATTATTTAAAATATGTTTAAATAATAATAAAAAATAAAAAAATATTTTTTTATTTTCTGCCCAAATTTTTGGTCGCCGGAATATGGTCGCCGGTAACCGGAATATGCTTTTTTGTCGCCGGAATATGCTATTTTGTCATCGGAATATGCTCACTGTCCCCGGAATATGCTTACCAGCGTCGGAATATGCTTACCGGCATTGGAATCTAGTCACCGGGGCCGAAATATGCTTATCGGCGCCGGAATCCGGTCACTGACGGTCATCGGAGTTTGGTCAACGGCCAACGACCACCGGATGTTATGGTCTACATTGTGAGATTTATGGTTTGGTTTCTCATATTTTTGAATGCCTTTTGTGGTTAGCTTTATCGTGTTTGTGGTTTGCATTAAGAAGTTTCTGGTTTGCTTTATCGTGTTTGTGGTTTGCATTGAGAAGTTTCTGGTTTGCTTTCAAAAAATTTATGGTTTGCTTTGCGGGGTTTCTGATTTGTTTTAATAGATTTTTGGTCTGCATTAGGATGTTTCTGATTTGTTTTTGTGGTTTGCTTTATCGTGTTTGTGGTTTGCATTATGAGGTTTCTGGTGTGTTTTTTAAAATTATGTGGTTTGCTTTGCGGGGTTCCTGGTTTGTTTTAGTAGATTTTTGGTCTGCATTAGGACGTTTCTGGTTTGTTTTTTTGGTTTGCTTTAACGTGTTTATGGTTTGCATTTTGAGGTTTCTGGTGTGCTTTCAAAATATTTGTGGTTTGGTTTGTGGTGTTTCTGGTTTGTTTTAGAGAATTTGTGGTATGCATTAGGAGGTTTCTGGTTTGCTTTTTTGTGGTTTTTTTATCACGTTTATGGTCTGCATTAGGAGGTTTCTGGTGTGTTTATTAAAGACTAGTGATTTGCGTACCGATAACTCCTAAATGCATATCATAAACACAATAATAAACTAAAATACATCAAAAAGGTGATTGATATACTGAGCTCTACAATAATTAGGTCAAAACTTGGACCTAGCTGGTATCCAGAACCCCATAAACACGAGGTAAGCAATGAAGTATACAGAGAAGGCATTGTCTTAGAGAGAAAGTGCTCAAACAAACTGAGTGAAGGAAATAAATTGAAGAGAGGTGCAGTAGAGTCTCCCAATTGAACAGTAAAAAAGCCTAACCACAGAATAACATGAACAGCAATGATGCGTTGGATTTCGTCCACGATCTACTTCTGATTTTTGGCCGCTGCAATAATTTGGGCGTCGCCGGGGAGAGCTAGGATCAGGACGGTGAAGCCGTCGGATGGATACGAGCGGCCTGGCGACGACGAGATGGGGAGGGACATGGAAGATGTGGAGGATTTTGTCGATCCCTGCATCCACGAGGCCTTTGACTCCAGCTTGGGATTCGTCAAACCATCCCGCAGCGAACGCCTCTCTCTCCGTTGCCGCCTTCTTCTCCCCTCTTTACCGTCACTATGGATCGTAGGAAAGAGAGATCGAATTCCAACTCAGGCGCAGGCGCTGCCTCAATCGTCGTCGTCACACATGGCGACTCCGATCTTAGAGTTCAGACCTAAGACGATGTGGTTGTGGCATCGATCTCTGACTGAATGGTGGAATCCATGTCTCCCAGGCGGCGAAGGAGATCATCGGGACGCGATTGTGTATGACTGGGAACGCTTTCGGAGTGGAGAAGCGGAGAGGCGAAGAGTCGCCGGCAAGGGAGAATGTTTTGATTTTTCAGGGAAAGCCGGCTACAGGGGAGATGGAGAACCGAGATCCAACAAGAGGGTGAAGGAGTGGCTGTGACTCATTTGAATCGGCGCCGGCGCCGGAAGGAAGAAGAAACGTCAGGAGGATTGTCGACCCAACGTCGGAGGAAAGAAGAATGACGGGGATGAGAGGAGATCGAAACAGGACAACTGGGATTGGAAATTAATTTTTTAATTTTATTTTGTTAATTCCCCTTTTTACCCCGTTGTTACTATAACAACACTATGGTATGTTGTTATAGTATCCGGACCCGTTTCTTTGTGTTTAAGTTTTTTAATTGAAAAATAAATTAATTATTTTTAGGAATATATGTGGTGGTGCGTGAGAATTTTTATTTTATTAAATTAAAAAATATTTTTTTGTGACGTGTTGGTGACATGACAAACACGTTGGCACTAAGTCAACAAATTTTTGACCGTCATTAGATTGACCGTTAAGTCTAACGGTCAACAAAACGTAGGAGGACAAATGTGACAGACACGGTAAACTTGGGAACATAAATGACGTGGTATAAACATAAGGGTACAAGTGACCTAAACCCTAAACAATATACCCTTTTCTGGTATTAGGCCTATATTATATAGACATACTTAATACTTTGCATAACCACTAAAGAGTCAAATGTAAGATAATTGTATTAGAGTTAACTATAATTATGTGTTGATTGATACGTGTTATTAATTATATATATTGCAAACTGATGCACTAACCGAAATTTTTTCTCACTCAATGCTCATGTGATGGTATTTTGGTTAACCAAATAACCAAACCGATTAAATTTTAATTTGGTTAATTTGGTTGTTGTATTAGTTTGGACGGTTTGGTTATTATATTATATTCCATGATTAATAGAATCTAGACTTATTTGGATTGGTAATTATCATGGTAACCATTTCAATATCCCTAGTAAAAAATGTCATGAAACACACCATCAACTCAAGAAAGTACACCAGAAACACAATGCAACCAAAACCAGGGGCGGACCCAGGGGGTTTGGGGGTGTCCTGGGATAGCTCTAAATTTTGGAAAAACTATTATCCAAAAAATAGGTGATAATTTACGTATGGACAAAAAAATTATAATTAATAGTCTGGGACACCCTGAAATTTGAAAAAACCATTATCCTACTCTCCTTTGTAAACTGTGTATGAGAATATAAGTGGTAGTTTGAGTAATTCAAACCCTAAACACTACTACTATTAATAAATATAAGGGTAAATACAATTTAATATCCAAACCTTTCATTTTAAACAATATAATAGCCAAACCTTTTCGAAAACAATCTAATATCCAAATCGTCAACTTTCCGTTCGTTTGACTGTTAGTTGACACCTAAAAAAAGCTTTGTTTAGGGGAAATTGTCACAATACAACTTTGTTTCTTGTTTTGGCATTGCAGATGACTGAATAGTTAGATATTCTATACCATCATGGTAGAGTCATGGACTTCTCGGGTTTGGAACTACGATATGTTGGTGGTTTTTCAGAGAAGATATAGAAGGATATTGATGAAGTGTCGTACTTCGAACTTTTTTGAAGTGTCAACTAACGGTCAAACAGACAGAAAGTTGACGATTTGGATATTAGATTGTTTTCGAAAGTGTTTGACTATTATATTGTTTAAACATTGTGTAACAGCAAAAACCTATCTTTAATTATTTTCAAAACCTAACAATTAATCTAATTACAAGCTACCCTTAATTTTTATTGATTTTATGGTTGTACGACAAGTGGTAAAAGTGTATTTTTCATCTTTGATTTACATCAAGAACAAATTTAGAAGTTGAATATGCGTCAGTTTGTGAATGATTGTCTAGTAAGATATACCGAGACAACTTTCTTGAGCAGTGTAGACACCAAGTGTATTTTACAATTTTTTCAGAATGTTAAAATACATCATGGACTTTTTTTAACTTGTACGAGTTGGGCATTTTCTTATTTAAGAATTTTTTTTTTTTTTTTTTGAAAGATGACACCCCCATGTAAAATTCCTGGGTCCGCCACTGACCAAAACTCTATTGAAGAAAATAATGAAGCATCTTACTATTATGAAATTATGATATTTTCAAAAGTTCAAATTTTATAGGCAGAAATTATTTTTCAAAAATACTTTCATACATAATTATTCTCTACCGATGTAGGTTCTGGTATAGAACAACTACTACAAATATACTAATACGACAGAAAATAACTTCTATTTTCTACAACAACAAAAAAAAAACAATTGAATCCGTTCTAGTAGAAGATGAGAGTAACTACAATTCCATTGTTTAGCAGTCTACCCATTGGTGCAGATATATTAAGTTGTTTACGATCGTTTTTCGTACTTCATATCTTGAGTACTGAATTCTCAGTATGTCATACTGTATTGGCGTATCTCCACTTTTTATTTTGTTTTTCACCATCGCTCCAATGGGATCTATAATAACAACTTTATGCACTTTACTACCCATCACTATAAAATTATCAATACCAAAGTTTTTCCCACCCTACATTGCTCATTGCCCACATCTTGTTCCTTAACTCTACGCATCCAAAACACCCCTTATCAACTTTGACATACAAAGGATCCACTATAACATCATATGGTACTCAGATAGTGATCGATGTACTCAATGATGCCAAAAATACTCTCATTCAAGAACTCATGTATGGTTCAGTGAAATTGAGTACCACCTCCTTTCATCTTGATTAAATATACCCACTACCTCTTTTTCGAACTTCTTGAACACCAAATTTGGAAATACATGTGGAATATTTTGATACCTCCTACCTCAAATTCTTCCTTTGGAGATTGGTGTGTCGATTCCTACCAGTTAAAGGAATCCTTCAGTATAAAAAAATTATTCCATCAAATCTTTGCCCTATTAGTTGTGAATCAAATGAGGACATCAAGCACGGCTTCTTCGACTGTAAAATCACTAGAGAATTGTGGCCATTTGCAGACATTGACCAGATAAGAGATATGATGAAGTCAAATCCTATAGACCTTGCATGGAGAAACCTCTTTTATACTAGAATCACTACTTATAGCTACGAAGTATTGCCATGAACAATCCTATTGTAGCTAATAAAAGCTAATAACTACGTAAATTGTTTCCCGTAGCTATTGACAAAAGTTTTAGCCACAATTGTCTTTACTTGTGGATATTTTGGTATTTTGCTTTAAATTTGGAGGAGTATGGCAAGTATTACTCTTTAGTCTTTAGCCATACATTTTCAAGCTATGCTATTACTTCGTAGCTAATTATTGTATTTAGTTACAAATGATACTTCCTTGTGGCAACAATAATTATAACATCCAACTTTTAGCTGTAAAAGGCAAGATTGTAACTGTTTCAATGATATTAGCTAAGAATTTCAAAGTGACGTAGCTAATGTTTTTATGAGCTTGCTAAAAGATGTCATATATCTACAAAACACGATAACATTATATAGGAATACAATTAAAAATTTATAACAATATATAGGAATTCAATTATTTAACTTGATGTCACTGTTTAAATTGAAATACTTACTAGCAAAAAATAAATAAATAAATAAAAAGCAAAGAGCTACAAAAGAAATTTCAATCTTAATTCAAATCAGAATATAAATATACGAATCTCCATAAATTCATCTTAACTTAAAATAGTATATACATAACTAAAATTAGCTATTTTAACAAAAGAATTATCAATCCTACTAACTAGACATGCACAAAAATTCCTTTTTTCCCCGAACTTGCCCCAATTATAGTTTGGCCATTGGGGTTTCTTTTTATCAGTAATATATATTTACTGAATGGTTAAAGATCGTCCTAAAAATTACTAACCATCGTCCTAACTTAATATGTAATTTACCGAATTGCTCATTTTGAATTTCAAAATCAAACACAAAACAAACAACCCCTCCCTTTCCATAAATCTAAAAAAGTATAAACCAAAATCCAACAAATTATCTTATGGACCGAGCCATAAATCGTAGTAAAAGAATAGAAAATTATTGATATAAAACAAACAAATCCAAAAAAATTCCGAAGAATTGATTTATGTTATCGTTCCAATTTTATCGGACGCCGAGAACGATTTATGCTCTCTTCGGTTGAGCCATGGTGCAACCGAAGGTGATTCTCAGTTGGTCCATGGTACAACCGAAAATTGCCTTAGGTTGAGCCATGGTACAACCGAAAATTGGCTTCGGTTGAGGGGTTTTGGGTTTTTTGGAAAAAAAAATCGGATTTTTACCTCATCGGAGTCGCTACTCATAATTCGGACGTATCCCCAACAATTATGACTCGAGAATGTCAACGATGAATTCGAGAGTGTGGGAAATTGAGTGTTTTTCATTTTTTTTAGTTAAAGTGATGTTTGTTTGCTAAAGATGATAAAAGGTTAAAAGTGTAACTTTGTTATTTTTTAGGACGATCAATAATAATTTTAAGGACGGCGTTTATGCCTTAGGCTTCTTCACTCCTCCCCACTACGATTCATCTCTCTGCATCCTCCGACTTGTCATTTTCGCTCATCATCAACGACGGAACAAGTGAAGACCTCTTTGTGATGCATTTCCATGCTTGACCCTTGTTCCTTTTCGATTAGTAATCAATTAAGGAGATGCAGATAGAAAAGGAACAGAGTATCAAAACCCAGGTATGAGGTATATATGAGAGACCCACACTTTAAAAACCAGGTATATATTATTCTCGTGTTTACAAGCTATTATATTTTGAACTAGATCATCGACTCTAGTATGCTTAGGAATCAATATCGATATTCCAATATTATTGAGCCTTTCGTTGATATATAGGGTGATTCCTAAGTTTTTCTTTCTTTCAAACTAATCTTTTCATGACATTGGCGTAGGTCAAAGTGTTGAAGCACAAGAGAAGATAGTGGACGATGATAAAACTTCAAATGATAGACATATACCTAAAGTATATGTACATTGCCAATAATAAAGACATTTTGTAGATTTTTATTTACGTTCATGTAGCAGATTGCAATTTTACCGTGTATAAAATCCTATAATTTAATGGAGTGTATCCTTTCGATCTGT